TGTGTGTGTGTGTGTGTGTGTGTGTGTGTGTGTGTGTGTGTGTGTGTTTCAAAAATCCATTAGAATTCCAAGTTGCATAGAGTTGTTTTTAAAAAATATATTCACATACTAAAACATATTTGAAAATGGCCAAAGAAAATACCTCAGAATCCATTTTCTTTTGAGCCATTTCTGGCTCCTTTTGTTCACTGGTCAGAATCTGATCTTGTAATATTCTGGCATTCTGTTCTTCGGAAAGTTGCTGCTGGGCATCGTTTCGTTGCTGCTCGACCTAGAGATAACATGGAGGTGTTTGTCTAATAGCACTGAAAAAAAAAAGACTAAAAGGTTAATTAAGAGCAGAGCCTCTCTTGGCTGAGCATGGTGGCTCACGCCTGTAATCCCAGCACTTTGGTAGGCCGAGGTCCGCGAACCACGAGGTCAGGAGATGGAGACCATCCTGGCCAACATGGTGAAACCCCGTGTCTACTAAAAATACAAAAATTAGGCATGGTGGCACGTGCCTGTAGTCCCAGGACTTGGGAGGCTGAGGCAAGAGAAGCACTTGAACCCAGGAAGCGGAGGTTGCAGTGAGCCGAGATCGCACCACTGCAGTGCAGCCTGGGTAACAGTGAGACTCCGTCTAAAAAAAAAAAAAAAAGAAAGAAATAAAAAAGAAGAAAAGAGCAGAGCCTCTCTTATAAAATGGTTAAAAGAAAGTAGCCTGTTAAAACACAAGAACTTTTATCCCTGAAGCATCACTCAAATCTTAATTGCATACATGACAGTTAAATTTGTCAAAGAGGAGAAACAGTTCTTAAATATGGGAAGATACAGCATTGTAAAATAAAATTTCTTTCAAAACATTTAACTAGTGTCATTATACTTTCAAAGCTATTTAGCCCGTATTTTAACATAAAAATGTGTAAACTCATTTAGTGATTAAACTCATCTTCCGTTCTGAAAACATAGACTGAGCATCTATTTAGATGTCAAGGTTTACAATAAATAATTTTAGCTATAAATGTTATAGTTCATTTTTAAGAGGAGATAACAGTTTTGGTTTGTTTTAAACCTAAATGATATACACGAAGCCAAAAAAAAGTATAAGCAATACTGATGAAACATAAAGTTAGAAATATGAAGTTTTCACCAAAGATTAATTTACGAGATCCAAGTTCTTTCTTACCATCCTCAATTCCTTAATGAGTTTTCTCAGAGTCCATTTAAGTTGCTGCGTCATTTCAGCCTTTTTCCTACATTCCTCTTCTTTTATTCTTAACTGTTCACTGACTTTATTACACACCACATCAGCATTTTCTTTCTTATATTTTTCTTGTCTTAAGGCAAGTCTGCAGTTAAATATGGATATTAAAATGTGTTTTGTTAGAAAATAAAAAAGTTTATTTTGTCATCTGGCTCTTCTATGTGGGTTTATAATCCTGATAAAAACTCCTATGTTCTTGTTTCCTTTCTAGTTCTCATGTTTTTAATTTCTCACTTCACTCTCTTCCAAGGGATATACATATTTGAGAAGTAGTGAGGAAAGAAACATTCTGTTAACTGGTAAGTTTCTGTTATTAGTAAATCTGAGAAGAGCATATTTGAAATTTTTCAGTAAAGTTACAAGTTGAAAGTTACTTCATGTTATGCAAATTGAAAATTAGTTAATTAGAATAGATCATTTAGAGTTAGCTAATTTAAAAGAAGCTACTGTTTACAAACAGGTTTAGAAATTCACTAGAAATACATTTTCATCTTTGTGAAATATTGTATGTATAGCCCTAAAAATGATTTACAGTGTAAGATAACACCTTCAGATGTCATTCACACAACATGTATCTTCAGACTACTATAATCCAAGACTAGGCTAAGCTGTTTAATAACTGTTACCTCCATACTTTTTATGTCTCTCTTTTTGGTAACACTTTCAACTTATCTTCTTGATTCTTATGCATTTTATAAACAATGTTTAAATCCCTTTTGGAACAAGACAGGATCTAATATTTAATTTAAAAGTAAAGGATAGTTTCAACATCGAATTTGGAATTAATTTTATCTGCACAGGAAAGATGAGGAATAAACTAATCATCGATTACTTTCCATTTTACTTTTTATTTCATGCATATTTAGAATGAAACTGGGAAGTCCTAGCCAGAGCAATCAGTCAAGAGAAAGAAATAAAGGACATCCAAATTGGAAAAGAGAAAGTCAAACTATCTGTTTGCCCAAGACATAATCTTTTAGCTTAGAAAACCCTAACACTCCTGGATTTGATCAATGAAATCAGCAAAAGTCTATTTTAGTTCTTTGAGAAATCTCCCTGCTGTTTTTCCTAGAGGTTGTACTAGTTTACATTCCCATCAGCAATGTATGAGCAAGCATTCCCTTTTCACCACATCTGCACCAACATCTTTCTATTATTTTTCAACATTTTAATAATAAGGATGCTGGCTGGAGTATGGTGATATCTCCTTGTTGTTTTAGTTTGCATTTCCCTGAATATTAGTGATGTTGGGAATTTTAAAATATGTTTGTTGGCCATTTGTGCATCTTCTTTTGAGAAATGTCTGTTCATGTCTGCTTGATTTCCTTTTTTCCTATGAAAGAGCTCTTCAGCAGTGCTTTCTAGTTCTCCTTCCAGAGATCTTTCATCTCCTTTTAGAGATCTTTCATCTTGGTTACCAAGGTGAAAGATCTCTAAAAGGTTAAGTTTTTGTTGTTGTTGCCGCCACTATCGTAAAAGGGATTAGGCTCTTGATTTGATTCTCACCTTGGCCATTCTTGATGTATACTAGTACTACTGATTTGTGTATACTAGTGCTACTGATTTGTGTACATTGATTTGGTAACCTGAGACTTTTACATCAAAAAGACACCGGCAAATGTATGTTTGTTTACTGCAGCACATTTTGCAATTGCAAAGATATGAAATCAACCTAAGTGTCCGTCAACCAGTGAATGGAATAAATAATATGTGGTATATATACACCATGGAGTACTACTCAGCCATAAGAAGAATGAAATAATGTCTTTTGCAGCAACTTGGAAGGGACTGGAGGCCATTATTCTAAGTGAAGTAACTCAGGACGGGAAAGCCAAATAAAAACACGTTCTCATTCATAATAGGGAGTTAAGCTATTCATCCATGTAACCAAAAACCATGTGTATCCCCTAAAGCTATGAAATACGCCAAAATTCTGAAAAAGAATAAAACTGTATAAATTTTTTAAAAATTACTTTGGGTTTAGAAAAGTGGCCAGTTCATGATCTACTGGTTGGACTGTAAATTAACACAAACATTCTTGAGAAAAATTAATATTGATCAAAGGTCTTTTTTAAAAAGTTCCTGTATTTCAAACTAATAATTCTATATTGGATAATTTATTCAAAGCAAACAGTTTAGGGATGCAAGATTTATATAAAAAATGTTATGGGCTGGGCATGATGGCTCATGCCTATAATATTAATGACTTGGGAGGCCAAGGCAGAAGGAATGCTTGAGGTGGCGAGTTGTAGATCATCTTGAGCAATGTAGTGAGATCCTGTCTCTACAAAAAACTTAAAAAGTTAGCCAGGCATGGGAACAGGCACCTGTAGTCCCAACTACTTAGGACGCTGTGGCAGGAGGATGAAGTTCAAGGCTGCAGGGAGGTATGATCACACCACTGAATTCCAGCCTCAGGCACAGACTGAGACCCTGTGTCTATAAATAATAATAGTGAGAAAAGATGCTCCTTATATCATTAATTATAAATACAAGATAATTTCAAAACTCAAATTGCAATTTGTTAAATGAATAACAAGATTTCATATGGTGGACTTCTACATGGCCATTAAGATTGCAAAGAATATGCATTTATGTATTAGCAGAAGAGTTCACAGTTAATAATTTATTATTTCCAAGAATTTCATGTTCCACAAGACCGAGAAGGTTTCTCCCATTAATCCCCAGAAGGCAAGTCAGAAATTACAAAAATTCTAATATATTATCTTTAGTATAAATATTTCTTTAAAACTAGAATGTGGCACATATATACCATGGAATACTATGCAGCCATAAAAAATGAGTTCATGTCCTTTGCAGGGACATGGATAAAGCTGGAAACCATCATTCTCAGCAAACTGACACAAGAACAGAAAGCCAAACACTTCATGTTCTCACTCATTAAGTGGGTGTTGAACAATTGGAACACAGGGACACAGGGAGGGGAACATTACAGACTGGGGCCTATTTGGGGGTTTGGGGTCTACGGGAGGGTTATCAGGAGGTTGAGGGGCTAGGGGAGAGATAACATTAGGAGAAATATCCAATGTAGATGACGGGAGGATGGATGCAGCAAACCAACATGGCACGTGTATACCTATGTAACAAACCTGCACGTTCTGCACGTGTACCCCAGAATTTAAGTATAATAATACACAAAACAAACAAAGAACTAGAGTGTCATACCTCAAACTGCCCAGCTCTTGTTCCCATTCGATTTTCTGATGCTCTAGCTGTAATTTTGTCTCTTTTGTTTCAGATAGCTCCTTTTGTAGTACACTAACCGTATTTCCCATTTGTTTAATTTCTGCTCTAAGTCGTTCACAGTCATTATTCTTAAGTTCCAGTAAGTGTTCATATAAATGAAATGCATCCTTGATTCTTGATCGGCTAACAGAATCTGTGTCAGGGAGAAAACAAGGTGGAAATAAAATATGTGAGTACTTTTTAGGTTAAAAGGACTGTGCATTTTTAAACACTGTCTCCTTCATACACAGAACAAATATGCACTGAGTGCCTACAGTGTGGCAGACATTCCACTAAGCTGTACAGATAAAACAGACAAGACCTCTACTCTCATTTAGTTTTAAGTGTAGTGGGGAACAAAGACAACAAAAGTGACAATTATAAATTCAGATAGACAATGTAAGAAAACAGAGTTCCATGATCACATAGGAGAATTTGATCTACACTGGGCCCACGAAAGATTTCCCTAAGGAAGAGATGACTACACCAGGAAATGAAGGGTGAGAAGAAAGCACTTAAGCAAAGGGGTAGAAAAGCATTCTAGCAGTCGACAGCAGGTGCCGAAGCTCTGCTGCAATCTGCTTCTGGCCACGATGGACAGCAAGTACTGATTTACCTTCTTGCCTGAAATAACCAAAAGGAAAACAGAAAAAATATATTATACAATGATTTACCAGGCAGTGGACTTCAGGTAATGAAGGCAATGATCCCGTAAGACAGGAAACAAATGGAATTCATACCAACGCTCCAGCTCCCTGCCTTCACAGAGTTTCCAGGCTATCACACAGAGAGAAAAAACTGTCATAGAGTCTACCAGATTCCCTGAGATGAGATGAGATGATGAAGCTGAGAGTCTGGTAAAGCGAAGGCAGACAGAGATCACAAAACAGAACACTGGAAAGGAGACAGAGTACAGGGAAAGAACACTGAAGATCTGCAAAACTACCTCCTGGGTATCTAGCAGAGTACTGAACAGTGCATGTGTGCCAGAAAACTGCCCCAGACCAAGGGAAGAAACATCTAAAAAAACTGGAAAGAAACATGCCTGCTGCTCACAAGGTGCCAAAAAGAGTGTCCATTCCCATGAGTGATGCTGGGAAAACTCAGACTTCACATGGGAATGAATAGAGCCATCACAAAGATCTTGCCTCAGGAGTGGGAAATTCGATCAAATCATAAAAGGAAGACCGGAAAGATCAAGCTGTTCATATGGAACTCAACTGTATATCAAAATTAAGCTCAAGCAGATTGGCAGAGGCATGGAAGATATATATTTTTTTTTAAAGAAAAATACTCTTGTAGAGATTCAAATTACAATGTCAGGAATGAAAACTCCGAGGCCACCTCCAGCAATGGCCTTTGCAAATCTGCGGAAAGTGCTCATCAGTGACAGCCTGGACCCTTGCTGCTGGAGGATCTTGCAAAATGGAGGGCTGCAGGTGATGGAGAAGCAGAACCTTAGCAAAGAGGAGCTGATCGCCGAGCTGCAGTTCATGGGAACAGAGCTGAATGGAAAGACACTGGGAATTCTTGGCCTGGGAAGGATTGGGAGAGAGGTGGCTACCCGGATGCAGTCCTTTGGGATGAAGACGATAGGGTAAAACCCCATCATTTCCCCAGAGGTCTTGGCCTCCTGTGGTGTTTCAGCAGCTGCCCCTGGAGGAGATCTGGCCTCTCTGTGATTTCATCACTGTGCACACTCCTCTCCTGCCCTCCACCACAGGCTTATCGAACGACAGCACCTCTGCCCAGTGCAAGCAGCGGGCACGTGTGGTGAACTGACCCGCGGAGGGATCGTGGACGAAGGCGCCCTGCTCTGGGCCCTGCAGTCTGGCCAGTGTGCTGGGGCTGCGCTGGACGTGTTTACGGAAGAGCCACCACGGGACCGAACCTTGGTGGACCATGAGAATGTCATCAGCTGTCCCCACCTGGGCGCCAGCACCAAGGAGGCCCAGAGCCGCTGTGGGGAGGAAATTGCTGTTCAGTTCGTGGACATGGTGAAGGGGAAATCTCTCACGGGGGTTGTAAATGCCCAGGCCCTTACCAGCGCCTTCTCTCCACACACCAAGCGTTGAATTGGTCTGGCAGAAGCTCTGGGGACACTGATGCGAGCCTGAGCTGGGTCTTCCAAAGGGACCATCCAGGTGATAACACAAGGAACATCCCTGAAGAATGCTGGGAACTGCCTAAGCCCTGCAGTCATTGTCGGCCTCTTGAAGGAGGCTTCCAAGCAGGCAGATGTGAACTTGGTGAACTCCAAGCTGCTGGTGAAAGAGGCTGGCCTCAACGTCACCACCTCCCACAGCCCGGCAGCACCAGGGGAGCAGGGCTTCGGGGAATGTCTCCTGGCCGTGGCCCTGGCAGGCGCCCCTTACCAGGCTGTGGGTTTGGTCCAGGGCACCACACCTGTGCTGCAGGGGCTCGGTGGAGCTGTCTTCAGGCCGGAAGTGCCTCTCCGCAGGGGCCTGTCCCTGCTCCTATTCCAGACTCAGGCTTCGGACCCTGCAATGCTGCCTACCATGACTGGCCTCCTGGCAGAGGCAGGCGTGCAGCTGCTGTCCTACCAGACTTCACTGGTGTCAGACGGGGAGACCTGGCACATCATGGGCATCTCCTCCTTCCTGCCCAGCCTGGAAGCGTGGAAGCAGCATGTGACCGAGGCCTTCCACTTCCACTTCTAACCTTGGGGCTCACGGTCGCGCCTCTGGGGCTTTTCTGAAGAAACCTACCCACTGTGATCAACAGGGAGAGAAGATCCACATTCCTGGGCTGAACACACAGGCCTCTGACACTGCTTACAGGGCGCTCATCTGACCCTGTAGTACAGCAATAACTATCTAATAAAGACCCTACCAGCAAAAAATAAATAAAATAAATAAATAAATAAACATATGCCATGGTTGACATTTGCATCTTCCCAGAACTTAAGTTTATGTTATTAAGCTTATGCTGAAACTTAATCACAGAGGTGATGTTATCAGAAGGTGGGGCTTTGTGGAGGTAATTAGCTCATGGGAGCCAAGCCCTCATGAATGCCATTAGTACTCTTATATAATAGACCCCAGAGGGCTCATTTACCCCTTTTGCCATGTGAGGACACAGGGGGCAAAAAGGGATCTATGAACCCGGAATTGGTCCCTCACCAGACGCCAAATCTGCCATCACCTGGATGCTGGACTTCTGTGAGAAATCTATTTCTGTTGTTTATAAGCCACCCAGTCTACAGTATTTTGTTATAGCGGCCGAAGAGACCATAGCATCAAAGATGAAACCAACAAAACAGAAAAACAATAGGAAAAAAATCGATTAAAACCAAACAGTTTGAGGAGGTCAAAAAAAGTGATAAAACTATCTAGTCAGGTTGATCATAAAAAAGAAGATGCAAATTACTAATTTCAGAAACATAGTAATATGACATTTTATAGATTCTACAGATACTAAAAGAACAGCAATATAAGGTCAGCTTTATGTGACTAAACATGACAACTTTGATGAAACGGACACTTTCCTTGAAAAATAAAAACTAGCACAGTTCAATCAAGAAGGAATAACCTGAACTGTTCTATATGTATAAAGCCTTCCTAGAAAGGAAACTCCAGGCCCAGATAGCTATGTTCTGGTGAATTCTACCAAATATTTAATAAATAATATAACAATTTTACATGGCCTCTCCCCTAGCCCTCAAAAAAAAAAAAAAAAAAAAGGAGAAATATAACTCATCCTGTCACTCTAGCATTACCCTGAACCAAAATCTGACAATGATATTACAAAAAAGGAAAACTCCCTCATGAACATGGACATAAAAATTTAACCAATTTCTGAAGAAACCAAGATACCCTCCTTTAGGTGACAGAACCACCTCTGGTACAGCCATGCAATAATGAGCTAGCATGTCATGAGAAGACATGAAGGAAACACAAAGGCATATTACCAAGTGAAATATGCAGTCTAAAGGCTGTACATTGTATAACACCAACTATATGACATTTTAGAAAAGGCAAAATTATAGAGACAGTAAAAAAAAAAAAAATCAGTGGTAGCCAGGAGTTGGGGAAGGTGAGAAAAGATGAACAGATGAAGCACAAAGGAGTTTTAAAACTCTGAAACTACTTTGGATAATACTACAATGATAAATACATGTCCTTATACCTTTGTCTAAATTCACAGCAATTAAGACACCAAGACTGAAATCTAATATAAACTATGGACTTTGGGTGATTATGATATGTCAATTCAGGATCATCAATGAGATCAACTGTACCACTCTGGTGAGGGAGACTGATAATTGTGGAGGCTATGAACGTGTGGGGGGCAGGCAGTACAGGGATAATCTTTGTGCCTTACTTTCAGTTTTGCTGTGAAGCTAAAACTACTCTAAAAGATAGTCTTCTAAAAATTTCTAAATAAAATTTTGGCAAATCTAATATATTAGAAGGATAATACATCATAAACAAGTGAGGTTGATCCCAAAACACAGGGTTGGTTTGACATCAGTTATTCATGACATTAACAAACTAAAAGAGAAGAACCATATGACCATCTCAGTAGATATAGGCATTTGATAAAATACAACATTCATTCCTGATTTAAAAAAAAAATTCCCCTTAGTAACTAAAGAATACAAGGGAAGGCCATCAGCATGATAAAGAGCATCTCTGATAAATCTACAACTAACACGCATCATGATGAAAAACTGAATGCTTTCCCTGTAAGATCAGGAACATAGGAAAGTTTCCTTTCACTATTTGAGCAGCATTGTACTGAAGCCAGTGCAGTTAGGCAAGAAAAGGAAATAAAAGCTATCTGGGTTAAAAGGAAGAAGTAAAACTGTCTTTATTCACAATCATGATCACATAATAGGGACGGGTAAAATCCAACCTGTGGGGAAGCTTCCTATTTTTACAAATAAAGTTTTATTGGAATGCAGCTGTGTTTTTTTTTTTTTAAATATATTTTATTGCACTTTAGGTTCTGGGGTACATGTGCAGAACATGCAGGATTGTTGCACAGGTACACATATGGCAATGTGGTTTGCTGTCTCCATCCCCCCATCACCTATATCTGGCATTTCTCCCCAGGTTATCCCTCCCCAACCTCTCTACCCGCACTGTCCCTCCCCTATTCCCCCCCAACAGACCCCAGAATGTGATAGTC